TTTTTTTTACTGTTAGTATATAAAAGTGCAGCTGATGGGGATTTGTTATTTATAATAGCCGGTATAAGCTTAATAATACTGAGTAAAAATGAAACCCTGTACTGAGACCGAGCGTGTCACAGTTCAGAGTATTTGCCATCTTCTGTTTATTGTGCACGTTTAATTGAAAAAGGTGCTACACTCTCTTCCACCTCTGCAGCAGCTGCCTGCAGTGGAAAACAGCAGCTTTCAGTACTTGCCAGGAAAAGGCAAACTGCTGTCAGACTGCTCTCAACTAACTTTGCACTTTTAATAGCTGAGTGACCCAGTTTGAATCCTATTGAATTAAATCTATACACATTTATAGCAGCTCTACTTACAGCTGTAAGTCACTAAGGATTACTTATTAAATGTCTCCCCGTGTGGTTTATTTTCTCAAAATATCTTCTTTTGATGGGATTTCCTGTCCATGATCCTGTTTACAGGCTATTTGCTTTTTTTTTCTTCTTCACCGTGTCGTTGGGTACCTCCAACTGGACATACACAATTCATACACACACACAAAAACAACCACAGAGGGGACCTTTGTAAGAAAACAAGTAGTTTGTTACTTTATCAATATTTCATGCCTTAATGCCCTTTACTGTGCTGTTAGGGTCCCTTTTTTATTTTTATTTTCTGTACATTTGTATTGCATAATTGCATATGGGCATGAAGTAACTGACTTAGAAAGTCACCTGTACAGTAGTGTGCAAAAGTCTTGGACCACCCATCATTTCTTTATATTTTGCTTCCAAGGAGAACTATCTTGTTTGTTTTTTTTTAAAGTGGTCGTGAGCAAGGGTTCTCCAGGATCTCGGAAGGTCTTTCAAAGTTTTTCTTTGGACATCGGCTGCTTTTTAAGCAACTTAATGCTCACTTATGAATCATTCAAGGGTAAAAGAGCAATTCATTCAAGGGATGAGCCTGTATTGTCCACACATAACAGACAACTTGGCAATAAAAATACAGAATTTCTTTAATTGAATCAACAAATGCCAAAGGTAACACAGTTTGACAGGCAGACAGTTTTTGCACCAACAAGGTCACTCCCAAAGTGCTATTAACTGAAAACCTGCCGTATCTCAGCATGATGTGCAGTGAGTCCTTAAGCAATTTAAGGAAACTGGACAAGTGGAGGGTGGAAAAGAAGTGGCAGGTCTATATAACAATCTAGAGCAGATGAACAGTATCCAAAACTCATGTCCTTAAGAAACTGGAAAAGATCCAGCAAAGACCTGACACAGGACCTGAGAGGTGCATCTGACCCTGTTTGCCAAAATCTCATCGGAGAAGATGTCAGTGAAAGTGGCTGTCAAGAAGCCATTGTGTTGCCAGTGGCAACAGGTCTTGCTAAGTGACACATCCATATTTAAAATTTTTGCTTCAAATCGTCATCGCCATACATGGAAGTACAACACTGAGCGTGTAGAGCCATCCTTAAAACACAGTGGAGGCTCTATCATTGTCAGGCTGTACGGATGAATGGATTTATAAATGCAGAAAATAGTTTAATCAAACAATCATACCAAATACTGACTTTCAAGCTTGTTGAAATTGTATGTACGCTTGGACACATTTTAAAAAGTTGCTTCTCCCATTTTCTTAGGAAAATAAAAAGACTTTAAAAGGTGGCTCAAGACATCTGAGAATTTATAAGCAAGTAATGAAAGAAAATCAGCAGACTAATTTTTAGATGAACATAATGGTCAGTTGCAGCCCTGGTGGTGCTTTAAAGTACAAAATTCATCTCTGATTATGTGTTGCAGGTCTTTGATGAACACAACAGCAGGATTGGAAATGTTAAGAAATGCTCGCTGATGAAGAAGTTCTTTCCTGACAGCTGGACACGGACACGACGTTACAGCATCTTTCCTGAATCTTATGTTGAACTCATTTGGAAAATTGGGATTTTGGTTGTTTTCTCGTGCTGTATATTCTGTTTTGATTTGTCAGGAATAAACAAATGTCTTTTCCATCCAACCATTGCCTTCTGAAATGAATTGTTGTGTACCAGAAATTCCTGAAGTGATCTTTACAGAGCGGTTACATCACTTATAACCAATGACCTTATCTGTGATAAGGTCCAAAGCTCCTGTTGAGCTTCACAAGCTGTTTGTGAGACAGAAAAGAGACGCGTTGTTTACATTTGTGGATGGGAAATATTAACAGATAAGGAAGCCTTCAAGTTTTTTGCTGCATGGAGTCTTGCCTGATATTCAAATGAAGCTTCCCGTCCCTCTGCTCCTTTTGTGTAGACTGATTACACTCGGTGGAGGATTGATATGGTTTATCTGCCTAGAGGAGCAGGAGGAACCAATGCCATCAGCTAATCCCTTTACAATTAAAGGCACTCTTCCACAGCGTGACTCTTGATGTGTAGAAGAAGATGTTAAACAAGTTGCATGGAGCTGCTTTTATGTTTAAGATGCAAGAGGCTTCACATTGTGCTTTTTGATATGTGTGATTATACAAGTTTTGGTTAAATGAGCATGAATATTGTCATGTTAAGCACATTAAAGAGCATTGTAGTCTACTTTACCGTGAGCTCTGTTCTGTGAAAGGCTGTAATAGATGTGATTCGGTCATGTGTTGATGGCTCTGAATAACATAAAAGGGTTTATATACATACAGCATTGTCTTCTTGGTTGGTATATTTATTTTAAAGTGCCTCTTGTCATCAAAAATGACTATAAAACATCCAACAGCAATAAATATTTCTTGGCCACAGAAGGGTGTGAGAGCATGACACTTTGAGTTAATTAACATGATAATCTGAGGTGTTTCTTCACATCTGAGTAAGACATGTTTCTAAGTATTTGATTTTCAGAGAAGTAAAAACACTCGGACCCTGTGTTGCTACTCGTATATAGAAGAGCAGCACTCTTAAGAACTGTCTGCAATTAAAATAAATAAAATAAGGCTCTTTGGAGTCTTTTCCCTAAAGCCTGTTATCTGAACCAATGAACAGCTCTCATCAGCATGTTTTCTATTTGTTTTTTTCCCTTTCATTCACATTGAAGATTCCCATAGGAGACTTCCTTTGCAAGGATCCAAAGAGATGCTTCCAAATAACCTCTTAAATTAAAAACAAATCTTTAAAAGCTAATGGTGCAAAGCAGAATAGAGTCTTTAAATAATTCTAGGTGACCCAGATCAGCTGTGTAACCATTAATCTGCAGCACATTCATCCAGAAGTGAGTAATGACGACCTCTTGATTAATACATCATGTCCACCACCTTGTATTCCTGATGTGCGCAGCAGGCTGGCACTGTGGGACATTTCTCCTGTTGCCCTTGCATCGCAGTTCGCGAGCTCTGCACAGTCAGGAAAGCCTGCGACTGCCACATCAACTATTTTGATGGCAATGTCAGAGTTGGTTTGGCCTGCTAAGCAGCATCCCAGAAATGTGATCCTGCCCCCTGGCTACTCAGCCACGGACAATATTGGTAATCTTAAACATAAATGAGTCTGAGCAGAGGGCTGGATTAGGTTTATCTTCATGGGGATGGGATGCACAGCAGAGGGAGCGAAGGAGGAGAGGGCATGCAGAGTTTAGGCAGCAGCAGGAATAACGTGGATAGACTTAAGATGATGTGCAGCTACAGCAGAACTAGAGGTCATAAAGAATGGGGGATAAAAGCCGCAACGCAACACATTTAAACTTGTTTCGTTCCACAGTCCATCTTTACAACATCATTTGGTGCAGGCTGTCAAACCAATGAAAGTCTCAGCATTTCAACATCAGAAAGGCTGATTTATAATTATAGATTAAGCTACTAGGAAATCTATATACCGTATGCACAACACAATAATGAGGCAGCTAGTGTTTCCCATGTGTTGCTGAAGGTATATAAAGTATATAAGTACGCTAACTCATAACTTCATAAAATCCCTTTGGCAGCACAAATTGTTACATTACTCAATAACGGTTGAGAGTTTACTCAACACAGTTCAAAGAAATGTTAAATTTCCAGTGTACTGTATTACCAACCTGCCATAGCTAGCAAAGGCCCAGGCTCGTCTGCAAACTGGTTTATGCTCATTGTCCATGTATCTGAGTCATCTTAGTCTGAGATTGTGGTTGTATCTTATATGGTCATCTCTGCACAGAAGCACCACCCATTTGCTGTTTTAACCTTCTGTCTGCAATGGGCAGCCAGTTAGAGGCAAGTTTTAAACAAAGCATAGCCAAGACAAACTGTTTCACTCAAAGGCCTGTTCACTACACTTCTTGTCACTTTCATTTGCATCAAAGCAGATGAAATTGATTCACAGAGGTTTAAGCTTTCTAGGTGGACAGGCTGAGATCCCTGATGTTTAAATGACTGTGTGTTACGCTGTGATGATTGCTTCCTTCATTTGTTCTTGTCAGAGAGTTAGATAAAAACAATGGCACCAGTCTTCATTCTGCCAGTTAACTGAAAAGAGGGATACCCGGCACCGCTTACTAGCACCTTCACAAGTCAACATTTAATAAACTTGAAAACATCACATTCAGGTTTTGGGAAAAGGGAACAAGTGGCGAATCATGAAATTTTCTGTAATGACACAGCCAATATAATACAATAAGCATTGTTTTGAGTCCATTTATATCTGATGTCACATTTTAGAGTGAGATAATATATGATTCTGACATTGGCATCCTCTCCCGGTGCTAATTTTAACATAAATGAAACCTCGGTTGATATGAGGCCTTTTGGGACTCTTCAGTGACCACTGGTAGTCCGAGGAACCATGTTGTGGGCACTAATTCCTTATGATATCAACTAAATTGCAGCAATTTTCCTCTCATTTCCTTTTCACTGTCTGAACCCAGCTGTAGGCGTAGGCTAAATGGCATTCTTCCAGAAAACATTTATTCTACTTGTATGATTCATTTACAGTGTGACTGTTAGGATTTCTGAGTGTGTGAGTGTGTGTTTGTGTGTGGGCTGAAAAAGTAAATCAAACAACAACAACAAGACGCTGAAATAATGATTCAAAGTGAGCACAAATAAATGATTAGCGCAGGATCTAATCTCCCCTTTAACTCTCCTTCTCCCTCCCTCTCTCCCTCCCTCCCTCCCTCCCTCTCTCTCTCTTTCTCTCTCTCATTTCCATTCAGTCTGTTGAGGCAGCAGCAGCAGTCTCGTATGTGGCTCATTGGCTGGAGGACAGCGGCAGGAGCAGCAGCAGTAGCAAGAGGATACATCCCAGACCACACTGCCCGAGCACCATGGTGGCTGTGAGAGTCATTGCTTGCCTGTGTCTGCTGGTGGGCGTCTCGCTCCAGGTGGACGTGAAAAGTGGGAAAGAGGCAGGAAAAGCCGGGAATTTCATGGAAGATGAGCAATGGCTGTCAACCATCTCCCAGTACAGCCGTAAGATCAAACACTGGAATCGCTTCAGAGACGTGAGTGTTGTATTTGGTGTAATTAACACAAGCATGCGTTGTCGTGTCTTTAGCTCTTCCTATACTGGGCTTTCAGAGGTGTTCCCTGTGGAGAAAGCGCAGGCTGGTTTCTCAGGTGATTTTTGCGCACAGTTAACTGTCAACCCGAAGTGCACGTATACCCAGTTTTATCAGTTTGTGCATGAGAAATACTTTGAGAAATGAAAGTATTTACACAGGATGCTAGAATTTAAGCTTAGACTGAGGTCCGAATGAATGCGCGTGTGTCCGTGTGCGTGTATCGATCATCAAACCATTCAGATTCATTTCACTCTTCTTCTTTTTCATTTTTTATCTTATTCGATGTTATACATTTATTGCTTTTTTAATAAAGGGGGGATGCCAACTATTTTATTGCGTATACCTGCGGTTAAAACTGACACTTTTCGTCTATGGACCGTCTTGCAAGTGAATGCAAGTGAATACGGTAAAACCCAAAGGAAATCTACGACATATGGTCTCAAAAGCTATTTCCAAGCTCCTTCTGGGTAACTGTGATACTCTGAACCGTATCTCTATTCATGAATTCCCATTGATCTGCCATATTGTAAATGTAGGGCTCACAGGTAGGAGTCTTCCTGGGCTTTCAGACTGAAAAGACGCACAGCAAGCCATCTCCTGTGTTGTCAATAAATCATAAATAGAAAATATCAAATATTAAAAAAACAAGCATGGCCAATGCTCAAGAGTAATACTCCCTAAAGCTGGAAAATAAGTGATGAAATTTAAAATATCTAAATTTTGAAGGCCAAAATTTAGTCACATTGTTAATAAAGCTGGAACTCCATGATTGGTAAAAAAACAAAAAAACCTTTTTAAAGCAAAAACACCATTTGCAGATTGCAGCTAAACAAATATGCTTTTTATAAGGACCAAAATAAATACTATTTGAAGATAGTGCCTTAGATTTCCACAAATTTCAGAGAACTGTTTTGGAATTTTGTAGATTAAAATATTAATCACGAACATAGGCCTAAACTGAGTAAGGTTACAGCAACCATATACATTTTGTGTATATGGTCCAAGCAACCACACCAGTAATGGTACATCTTGACACATATATTTTTTGTGACGGGATAGGTCTACATTTTCACGAAATCCTGCTGTGAAACCTTTTAACATCAACAAATGATGCACCTGATAAATGCAGGCTCTTCATCACAGTAGTGCAGCTTCCTGTAAATCAGATTTGTGCTTATTTATTTCCACCACTGCCAACAATACACTGATACAAAGAGATATGATAAGAACAGCTATCTTGTTGTAAACCACAAAGCAGACAGGTGTGAACCAATCCAGATCCTTATAGTGGGCAAATTCTTCTGTCTTTTGTTCCATTAAATATTTGAAAGCTCAGGATGAGAAAGTCGTTTTAATGTTGGTGGGTAATGATGAAGGTCTCATTTTAACTGAGGAGGACTGGGTGGAATGATGACAGTGATGATGGTGCTTTCACAAATGTATATTTTTTATTTTTGTGTGTTGCTTTTTGAAGCTGAAATAGAAAGTTGGATTCTATCTAACTTTATCCCATCCCAGTATCCACAACTGGTACATACCAGCATTGATTACCCATTGACTGATTACCCATTTGACAATATTAGTTCTTTCTTTCATCACCAAATTACAAATCCCACCCACCGTGACTGGTGGTGATTAAGGACAAATGCTGACACTCAAGCCAATATTGATTCTGCTTATAGGTCAGATGCTTTATTGATTCTCCTATTGATTCCTGATCAGTTGTCTGTTGCCTGGGAAAAAAGCAGGCCATTACAGGCCTCTTTTAGGTTTATTAGCTGTGATGATAGGAAAAAAGGCACAAATGCATGCATAGGCTCAACTTCTTTGAGTTCAGTGGAATTATTTTGCAATACTGTTGTGTTAGAAAAATATGGCAGCATTTCTATTGGAACTGATTGATCTTGGAGGCGTACAGTTCCAAGGGTTTGGACTATGTGGAACAATTTGGCAACTGGAACCTGGTTTCAATTTCAGTCCCTGGCAATAATAACTGGTCAGAGCATATATAATCAGGGCAGACATGTTGAACGAAGGGAGGATGTGCACAACACTCAGATCACTAGCTAAAAATAAGTAAATCCTGTCTCTATAAAGGTTAAGACAGTTTTACAGCTGTTGATTGATTGATTCAGTGCTGTGGATGGTCTGAATCGCTGCACTTTGTGTTGTTGCTGTGAATTGTCTTGTGTTACACTCTGATGTGTTTCTAATATTAAATCCTCCCTCAGTGATATAAATAGGAAGGTTGATATTAAAACATCTGCAGCCAAGAGAGGGATACGTGGGCACTGGGGGAGACAGTTCGCTTATAAAGGGTCAGGAGGCTATGACGCTGGGTGTGCCACATGGTTGCAATAGTCACTGCCAAAAGACTGAACACATGGCATAAATCAGGATGCACGAGATCTCTGAGGATGAGTTGGTTAGCAACGCTTAGATCCAGGCCTCTACCTTGACAACCGGACAGCTGTTTGATCTCACTGCTGAGAAATATCACCTCAGACACATAGTCTTATCAGAGTCTGCCAGAGAGAGAAGCTTCAGCACCTCTGACCATGTCTGGTGACGTGCAGGAATGTGTCCGACTGGAGAGAATTTGTAATTGAATCGCAAATTTGTGCTTTCATGCAGATTTAAATATTATCTCCACGGGTGTTTGGAGGAGTTCGGCTCTCCTGTTAGATTGGATCAGCGTTTGAGTGACAGATAGGGTGAACAGAGCGATATGGGGCCTCTCTGTGGGCAGTTAGCAGCACGTCCAGCCACAGTGTGCAGAAAAGATTTGACATGAGAGTCTTCTTCAATCCATTTGAGTTTAGCTTGAGTTTAGTTCAGTAAAAGATTGTGTAGCAAAAGATTGGTGAATGCCTTACAGCTAAGGCTCACTCCAGTGGTTCTCAAACCGTAGAGCAGGCCCTACTAGCGGGGAATGGACCACGAGGAGAAAAATATCGATTGAAACTGGGTTGAATGGAGAGTATTTACAAGGGGAAAAAAAACAGTTTGGAGTTTGCAGATGCTACTGTGCTGACCTTTATTTCACTGCAGTTTAACTTGGATCCTTTTTATGGTTAATGAGTCGTGCAAATTGTGGGATATGGGGCATGAACCTTTTTTTGGCTGTGGGTAGGGTATTCCAGAAACAGGTTTGAAAACCAGCAGTATAGAGTATACTCTACAAGGAGTATATAGTGTCTATTATTGTCTCTAGCATAAGGCCATTGGGAAAAAGGTTCATGACATTTAGGGAAGGACAATGATAAGATTTCATTGATATCGGTGTGATTGTTGATTCTGCTTAAAGGTCAGATTCTTTATGTATTCCTGATGAATCTTTCAGTGTAGAAACATTTTTTCAGCACAGCAGTGACAGCTGTTTTATTATTTCTCACTCTGAAGTGCAAGTCCACTGTAGAAAGCAAGTTTGCATTTACTTTTCACAAGCCCCTTTCCTTGAGTTCAAAATATAAACATGCAGAACATTTAATTTAATCTCAAAAGTAAAAGATGTTAATGTTGCAGTGATGTGAGACACTTTATTTTCATTTGAGAAGCTTTAATTTGACTATTTGGGTGTAATTAAATTAAAGACTCGATGATAAAAATTCTCAATCCTATTTTTGTTTTGTTTTTTTCTTTACTTCATTGTCATTATTATTTAAATATACAAACATCCCTTTTGCCAAATCCTCAGTGGAACAATCCAAGTAGAATGTTGAGCAAACTGAAAAATAGAAAACAGAATAAAATTAGTGGAATGCTTCCTTAATGATTCCTGAATAATTCAGTCATTTAGTTGTTTAAGCAGCTAGTCTTCATCAACATTCACTTACACATTCACCGGTCACTTTATTAGGTATATATGTTCAACTGCTCGTTAATAAAGTTATCTAGTAATCCAAACACATGGCAACAACTCAACAGTCAAATCATTTAGGAAAATAACCATGGCCAACATGTTCAAACAGGGTAAGAAAGGTGATTTAAGCAGCTTTAAATGTAGCATGGCTGTTGGTGGCTGACAGGCTGGTCTGAGTATTTCCACTCCTGGGATTTTCCCACACAACAATCTCTGGGGATTACAGAGAATGATCTGGGGAAAAAAAGATCCAATGAGCAGCAGTTTTCTTGTTGCGGCGACAGCTTAGAAGAAAATAGCCAGACTGCCTATAACTGAGAGGAAGGCTACAGTTCACATGGGCTCACCAGAATTGGTCAATAGGAGAAAATTGGAAAAAGGTTGCTTGGTCTGATGAGTTAATTTGGATGGCACAGTTCAGGTTGCTGGTGGTAGTGTAATGATGTGGGGATATTTTCTTGGTATACTTAGGGCCCTCCTATTGTTGCTGACCATGGCTATTTCTTAGCTAAGCTCTTAGCAGATGGGGGTGTGCATAATCGCATAGGGATGGCTTGAGCCCTTGCTCATTCAACCCTCTTCATACATTTGTATAGAGGCACCTCATCCAAAAAAAAAAAAAATGAAGGTAAATTCAACCACAGCACAGGAGGAGATACTGTAAGCAGCCAAGTTGGCTTGGTTCTACTCAGAGGAGACTATTCTCTGCTCTGTCGGGCACTAAGACGTACCATCTGAAACACGAAGGGGCTGTATTTGTTTACTAGCTGTCTTGGCAAACAGGAGGTGTGAAAACAGCAAACAGGAATATTCATTCCTGCATCGAAATAAAATGAAACAGAGTGGGGAGGACGGGGGTCACCATGTGGGCTTTATAAACCAAGTGGTGGGTGGTGTTTCAATTGGACCAGCATGGGGATATAATGAGGAAACGTTGAAAGGAAGAACAATAAGAGCAGCAGATGTAGAAGGTATACACAGGATGTTATACAAGCTCCTTTATGACAGGCGTCAATGTCGAAGCTGTAATCATGACATCCTGCTGGTGTCAAGATATCAAATCTCCCCTGCCCTCAGA